TTTGAAAGCCGACGCAGAGATTTTTCTAGAATGATTTTAATAAATTAGGTATAAAATTACTTACAAATGAAATATGATGCCATCTATAGCATCAAAGCGTCTATCTGAGTAGTTTTACACGATAAAACATAACACTTCATCCTTCTCTTCTTAATACTACGAAAATACACTGACTTGTGATTGTCGACACATAAGCGTACAGGACGAACGCTGACAGTATACTAAATAAAGCCACGCCCACTGTGATGACGTAAGGACCTAGTTATAATCACAGTGCACAGTGCTTAGGCCGTCTCCTCTTTGTATTTGTTCCGTGACTGTAATATATAGTTTCGTTGGACTGTAATAGCTCGCTTCCACTGTTGTATTTAAAGATAGTTTCAATAACTGGTTACGTTTTGTAACGACCACTCCTAGTCAGTACGCTCCACTCCTTTGTTCAACGCGCATCTTTTGTATTTCTGTTGCTCTCGTTTCGGTACTAACGATTTTGGCTTTGTAAAATTGGACTTGATTCTTGTTTGTTTACTGAACTGGTTTTCTGCTGGCCTTGTGATTGTGATACCTGAATATTTTGTTTAGCAAACTCTGTAGCCGTTAATAACTAGTGATTTTTGTTTTCTACGCTAATTTGTGTAGTCCGAATCATGCTTTGTCTCTACTCAGCTGAAGGATATGCGAACATGCACCTCATCTACATAGAATATGGACGTAACGCTAGTGCTACAGCCATGCTTTATTGAGAATGGTATCCTAGAAAGGAATACTGAACGTCATCCGGAACACCGCGTTTTCGCCCATGTACATTATATTATTATTGATGGAAGATCCCGAGAGGACTACGATGACGTAGTTTTGAATGAAGTTTTTAAACGTGGTAGTGCCATGCTGTGTTGTAGCACGAATTGTTAGGCTCGACTGGGGAAGGACCACACTCTCACATAATCCCAGTGTAAATAGCAGCTAAATGCTGCTGTATTTTGTATGGTGAGTGTACAAAACCAGCGACCTGTTTTTACTGGAAAAGAGGCATTCCATCTTAGTCCTCACGACTGACAACGCATCTGCATTTTGATTCGCAAACGAGGATAGATGTAGATGTCTCTGGGCCATAGCAACCACTTACCATCAGGTAGACTGTGTGCTTGCTAGTCACCCTTATCATACAAAAAAATTGAAGGCAACTCCAGTACTTCAGTACGTGCGATTCAAAAAAGTACGGGAGTACCTAAAACTGTCGTGCATCGAATTATAAAACGTTATACATGTCACCTCTATCATGTGAGATGAGTACAGAACCGCGTGACTACTCTCTCAGAATAAACTTTTGAAAAACAATGCTAAAAAATAAAATAATTTTTCAAAAAAAAAAGACCGCTATAAAACTTTACCCACACTACTAAAAAGGTAAAAAATATTTTTTGTTGCTAAGAAAAAAAGAAATTTATAAAATAAGAAAGTTACAATTATTTTTAATTAAATATTTACAATGTCTAACTAGTAATTTTTGGAGTCGGTGCCTAATTCTATGTTGACAATTATTTAAATAGGTTTCTGGTACCTATTTAAATAATTGTCATTTAAATAGGTATAGGTATAGGTAAATTTTTATTTAAAAATAATAAAATTCTTATTATTTTTAAATTTTATCAAGTTCTAAGTCATATTATTTCCATTTTGTCTTGCAACATATAAAATGTTAAGTTATTAAAGTAGGTATCTCGTAAGTTTATCTTTTGTTTTTCATGCCTTGGCAGGGAACGACTCTCTGATGAGGCACCGATTCTCTAATGAGACAGCGACAGTTGGAGCTAACAACTGACGAAATGAAAGATCGTTTGAGAAAAAATAAGTTTAAATAATTCAATAGGTATTTCAAAAGAGAGTGATGCGCAGAGTGCCTATAGATTTCCACAAATCAGAGCTTATGCGAATTCCACCAGACGTAATGAAAGTCCAGGCCATCGTGCTAAGCGATTCCGTCTGATACACGAACGCTTTGCAAACGAAACGTAAAAACAACGTCCTCACCAAATCAGCTTGATACACGAACGTTTATCAAACGAAACTGAAGAACACCGTTCTCATCGAATAAGCTTAGTTATACCGTTATACGAGAGTTATCAAAAAAAAAACTGCTTGCCTAGTACGAGTATTTTTACGCGTTCGATAGCGTTAAAGTTAACAATGATATGTATGGAATAAAAACAGCGCCAACTAGTGACAATAATCAGAAACACAATTCACGAGTGCGAATTTATCTAGTCGCCGATATCAACTCGTATTCGACAGTGGGAACGTTAATGCTCGTAATTAGTTGTTTGAAGTATTTTGCGAGTAGGAGCGGCAATTTTGATCGATCGAGACGTAACTTACGTAAACTTTACGCCGTCGCGATGGAAAAGGTTTTTACATAGATTTTTACAGTGAGAGAGTAGTGTGAGAGTAGTAGAGTGATATAATTATGGCAGGACGTTTGTTTTTGCTTGAAGGATTTTTGGAGCTGCTAAGGCATTAGTAACTAATAATAATAGATGACTGCTATTTTAAACCCGTGTTGAAACAAGAGCTCGTCCATATTTCAGTGCGTTGCACTTTCATGCTCATGCATTTTCGTGTTTATGCATTTTCGGAAGTGAAACCTCTATAACAAGCACTTTAAGGATAGATATCGCCCTTTCAAGCAAAGTGTTTGAGTTTTTATGTAAATAGCGTTTGATATATCTATCATGCATCACTATTTAATAATTAAGTCAATTCCTCCCAATTCTTTACACTGGACATCCTATCCCTTGCATTAGAGGATGCTTTGCTGAGGCGTCCATGCCGAAAATCCAATAAATTCTAGTCTGTGAAAACTATTTACAAAATATAAGCATTATAAGACTTAGAACTTAAATTACATTTACTGTTCCATAAATGTCACCATAACATCATCAACATCTTCATGTTTATTAGGAAGTATTAAAATTTTAATTTTATGGGGATATGTACAAATATATGTACTATAAAAGAAAATGATATATTTACATGAATATATATTAAAGTATTAATAAAAAATAAAAGAGTCTAAAGTCCTCGTCAAGACAAATCATTAGAACACCCTACAAAAATTTGCTATATGCGCCTTTGAGGAGTTCCCTCGTCTGTCTTCAATTCCTATTAATAGGTTACCATAATATTGTTAAGTCCTGATGCCAAGTTTCATTAGAGTCGGTTAATCGGAAGTGGCTGAAAATCAAAATTACTTAAAAAAGAGGCCAATAAAAGTCATCTTCCCCTGTTTTCCATCATTGTTGTTAATGTTTTCTTCAAAATTTAATGGAACCACTCTTATTATTTTGTAAAAAAAATAATTATGAAATCGGTTCACAATGTGCGAAGATATTAAACTCGTTTTAAACAAGAGTCCAATATGAAATTTTTCCCCAATTTCTATCATAGGAGCGGAATATTATCTTCAAAATTTATTAAAGTACTACCTTGAAGGTAAAGTCTATTTAGTACAGAAATAATCAGTACAATCGGTTCACAATCTGCGAAGAAGTTATATAAAATTCAGTAAACAATAGCCCAATATGAAACTATTTCCACTATTTTACTCTTTGGGACGGAATTTTTCTTCAAAATTTAATAGGACCAACCTTGATGTAAAGCTTATTTAATAAAAAAAATTATTAAAATCGGTTCACAATCTGCAAATATATCGCGTAACATACATAAAAAATAAAAATAAAAACTTTGCACTCGAATTGAGAACCGTATCATTTACGAAGTCGGTTAAAATCCCCATGAAGATCCGCAATTTTTGGATATGATTTTTGGATCTACCACATTAAAAATAAAATAATAATAATCAAGTAAAACCTACTTACGTACCTTGTGGAGTCTTTGGGATAATCAAAAAATGATATTGGTATTTTAATTAACTTTATTTGCCTTGAACAAGTTACAATATTATTGCATAAACTACCGGGTGGCCCAAAATAAACGAAGGGGTTTAAATTGCTTATAACTTTTTTATTATAACTTTTTTTTCTTTTTTTTTCAGTATTTTGTAAAGAAGACTTGGGGAATTTAAAATGGAGCAGTACTCCATTGAACAACGTGCCCAAATTGTTGAGCTTTATTTTTCAAATCAACGATCCATTGTTTTGACTCAGCGTGCATATCGTCGTTATTTTAATGTGCGGGTTGGACCCTCAGAGTCAACGATAAACCGTCTGGTTGCAAATTTTCGACAACAAGGGGCAGTAAGGAATCTTCCTGGTGCTGGCAGACGACGAACAGTGCACATGGATGACAATATTGAACTGGTACAGAGGAGTATTCGGGAAGATGGAGAAACATCAACCAGGAGACGTTCAATATTTAATAGATAAAATTATGTAGGAGTGGAACTGTTTTGATTTTATGTCTTATTTCAGAAAATCAAATTTTTAAGGATAAAAGTGACATGTATTTACCATTTTGAAATCTAAGATAAATGGGCTATCTGTTGAAGTAACGTGCCTAGGGTAGTACAGTATGTTTTTATTTAATGACGAGTCAAAGTTAGGTGATCTTATTTTTTCAACTAAGACTGACTACGTTAATTTTTACTAACCTAGCAACCTTTTCTTGCTTGATTTGTAACTGCGATTAATAGCACGTTTAGTTAAGACCACGTTAGTGATAAATCACTGTAAATTGAGAAATTTATGGTCACAATATCTAATGATATGATTTAAGCTGTCGATTTTCCTCAATTTCATATATTTGACGGTTATAAAGTAACTAAGTGATGTGGATTTTTTCACGGGGCTGGTGACCACCCTTCACGCCCTGTGCCCGCTTGACGTTGAGTTTCGTGATACGTATAAAATTAATAATTATTATACTGGGTGGCCCAAAATTAACGAAGGGGTTTGAATTCGTTCTAAATTTTTACTTAAAACATAATTATAAAATTTTTATTTTTTTAATATACTCGTAGTATATAAATGGGGAATATTTTTAGTTTAGTTATGAAAAATAATGTCTCGCAAGTGGTGGCCATTTTCTGCTTCGCATATTCGTGCTCTTTCCAACACATTTTCCATAACCTTTCACAAAATTTCAGGTGTTATGTTGTTTATTTCGTCGCGTATATTGCTTTTTAATTGCTGGATGGTTCTAGGCTTATTGATGTAGACTTTTCCTTTCAAATAACCCCAAAGAAAACAGTCTGGAGCGGTTAAATCCGGTGAACGCGGAGGCCAATTAAAATCACTTGTACGCGAAATAATTCGTTCACCAAAGATGTCCCGTAAAAGAGCCGTTGTGTCCCTTGCAGTGTGCGCTGTGGCTCCATCTTGTTGGAACCATACTTGCGGATGGTTTTCCACGGCTGGCCTTAAAATATATCCAACATTGTCCGATATCTGACACCATTGACGGAAACGGCGACCCCGTGTTCATTTTCAAAAAAATAAGAACCAATTATCCTTTCCGATGAAACACCGCACCAAACCGTACACTTAGGCGGGTGTAATTCTCACTGTTGAACTACTCTCGGATTTTCTGTAGCCCATATCCTGCAGTTTTGCTTATTAACGAATCCACTTAATTGGAAATTGGCTTCGTCGCTCATAATTAGATTATGATTTTCTTCTGCTTTTTGCCGGAAAAATACTGCATAATCAAGTCGTTGCTGGTACTCTGTCGGTTTCAATTCTTGGACAAGCTGAATCTTGTATGGAAACATTCCTAACGTATGCAAAGTTCTCTGCAGCGACGCTCGTGAGAGGCCAAGTTGTGTTGAACGTCTCCTGGTTGATGTTTCTCCATATTCCCGAATACTCCTCTGTACTAGTTCAATATTGTCATCCGTGTGCACCGTTCGTCGTCTGCCAGCACCAGGAAGATTCCTTACTGCCCCTTGTTGTCGAAAATTTGCAACCAGATGGTTTATTGTTGACTCTGAGGGTCCAACCCGCACATTAAAAAAACGACGATATGCACGCTGAGTCAAAACAATGGATCGTTGATTTGAAAAATAAAACTCAACAATTTGGGCACGTTGTTCTATGGAGTACTGCTCCATTTTAAATTCTGAATTTTAAAGTCTTCTTTACAAAATACTGAAAAGTATAGAAAAAAAAAAGTTGTAATAAAAAAGTTATAAGCAATTCAAACCCCTTCGTTAATTTTGGGCCACCCGGTAGTTTATGCGATAATATTGTAACTTGTTCAAGGCAAATAAAGTTAATTAAAATACCAATATCATTTTTTGATTATCCCAAAGACTCCACTAGGTACGTAGGTAGGTTGTACTTGATTATTATTATTTTATTTTTAATGTGGTCGATAGATATCCTGTACACATATGTCAACAAATTTAGCATTAAATGAATCGCGAAAAATACACGAATATTTTTATTTTGAAATAATAATTGTTAATATTGATAGTGATATATTAAAACGTATTCTAGCTTGTGTATGGCTACGTGCCATGTGAGTGATTTTTATCTTTATACCTATTGCATTTGTAGCGGTGTTCTAACATAAACGCCACAGAAGAATAGAACGAACATTTTATTGTCTAAAATTGACACAACAAAGTAAAAACGTCACAAATAGGTTCCATTATAATTATTGGAATAGTATCTAGGCTTAAATAATTATAACAATTTATGGTTACTTGCAAGTCGAGACATTTTGTTATACTCATATCTTGATTAACTGCGCAGTAATAATAATCAAAGACAAGAGTGTATCTACGGGGGGTAAAAACCCGGAAATTGCTGTCTCCACCGACAGTATCATCTAGCGCGTACTTTATACGACGCTTTTTAATCGATATTACGCGGTATCAATGTATCGACTCGGCACACGAGTAGACCTACCAGTCCGAGTAATAATATTTCAAGGAGCTATGTGCGCTACACATTTAAAATTTACCATTCAAATAAAAGGCACAAAAAATTATTCAAAAGCCACAAATATGAAAATAGAATATTTAGAGTAAGTAGTTTGTAAAAGAAATATTTTATCATTGGTACATAATAAAAATCTGATAAACATTTTGTTATTTAATATCATTCCCTGTATCAACCCTACCAAAATAGTATCGAGGAACCTCTACCCTCCATAAAAAATAGTTAAAAATTTTGACACCTCCTTAGAAACTTTGCCTCTGTACGGTTTCTTTACTCAGTAGTAGAAATAGTGTATATATAATATATATAAAACATAAATAAACACTCACGCCTGTCACCCAGAGGGGTAGGCAGAGATTATGGACTCCCATTTGGCACGATCCTGACACACCTCTCTCGCTTCCTCCACATCCATATACCTACGCATACACGCTCGTCGGTTAAAGGTACTCTTGATTTGGCCCATTTTTAATATATCGCCAATTTGGTCGATAAAGTTTCGCCTAGGGCGACCCTTCCCGACTATGTCGGGGATGAGTCGCTCGCGTCCGTAGGCCTCGACCACCTAATCCTAGGCCCACCCTACACGTGTCCCCCAGGTGGTGCTAAACAAGCGACAAAGCCGAAAGAACAGACTCGGCTCCTCGCCGTGTGGTAGTGGCGTAAAAAATACCACACCTTACTTTCGCACCATGAGGCAAAATATATATTTATATATATATATATATATATATATATATATATATATATATATATATATATATATATATATAAATATATATTTATATATATATATATATATATATATATATATATATATATATATATATATATATATATATATATATATATAATATACTTACTATAATATACTTACTGCTTACGTCTGTGTCGGTGATAGCGTGTAGTAGTGTACGGCTTGCGGCAATCAAAATAGTTCTTAAAGAGAGGTCGTTCCTTGTAGTGTCGGTGTATATGCCTACCGATTCAAGTGAAAATATACCAGAGTTTACTGAGTGTCTCAGTGAGGTTAGTGCCATTATAGAGAGCAGCGGCGTTGAATCCGCATACATACTTGGCGATTTCAATGCACATCCAGGTGAGCGGTTTTGTTATGAACTTATGAACTCTTGTGCTGAACAATGTTGGTCTTGTATAGACTTGGACTTGTTGCCGGCGAACACATACACTTTCGTGAGTGATGCACATGCCTGTCGGCGCTGGCTTGACCATTGTATTGTGACGTGTGCTGCTCGGAACACAGTGGCTCATGTGTCTGTCATATATGACACCTTTTGGTCAGATCACTACCCTATTGTAATTAAATTAAACATTGATGTAATTATACCTAAAGTTGTGCATGGTAGCTACAACATTAATGATGTAATATGGGGTGACAGGGATTCCTCTCAAACAGAGAAATATAGGGAATACTGTCATTCTAAACTTAGAAATGTAAATTTTCCTTTGGAACTCACGAGTTGTGCAGATAAAATGTGTTATGATAGTAGTCATAGACAAACTTTAGATAAATTGTACAAAAATATAATTAGTATCCTCACAGAAGGTGCAAAAATTTGTAGTAAGCGTATAAGTAAAAATAATAATAAAAAGAACAAACATGTCATTGGGTGGAATAAACATGTCAGGGACGCTCACCGGCACGCTCGGGATTGTCTACAGAAGTGGCAGCTCTACGGTAAGCCGAGTGCTGGTCCAGTATACGTGAATATGGTGGAATCTAGGAGGGTATTTAAGTCTAAGCTTAAATGGTGCCAAAATAATCAGCAACAAATTAAAATGGATATGATTGCACAACACCGTGCTAGTAAGGACTTTAAGCGCTTTTGGAAGGCTACAAATAAATTAAACCCAACATTGAGCCTTCCGGTGAGCGTCGCTGGCCTTCATGAGCACAGTGAGATAGCGAAGGCCTTCCAAGCTCACTTCAGGGTGGACTCGCCTCTTGGGCCTGCAGCTGCGATGTGTGATGATGGGTATCGTACTGACAAACTTAATGTTAGATTCTCGGCGAAGGATGTGGACCGTGTAATTAAGGGCATGGTACGGGGTAAATCCCCTGGTCATGACCACCTCAGCATAGAGCATCTGCAGTGTGCGGGAATACATCTACCTAGGGTCCTATCTTTGTTGTATAATCTCTGTCTCAGCCACTCTTACCTGCCTGATGACCTTATGCGAACCATAGTTGTGCCAGTTATTAAGAACAAGTCGGGGGATCCGTCGGACTTGACAAATTACAGACCAATTTCACTGGCTACTGTGGTGGCAAAGGTGCTGGACGGTTTGCTTGATGAACACTTAAGTAGTCATATAAAATTTAATGATGCACAATTTGGTTTTCAACCAGGTCTGTCCACCGAAAGCGCTATTTTGTGTCTCAAGCAAACTGTCAAATACTACACTGATAGGAGCACTCCAGTCTTTGCCTGTTTTCTTGTCTTGTCCAAGGCCTTCGATTTAGTGTCATATGACTTATTATGGAAAAAACTTCAAAGTGAGACTGATGTGCCGTACGAGTTAGTCGCGATGCTACGATCGTGGTATGAACGGCAGACCAACTGTGTTAGATGGGTGAACGCATACTCCGATGTGTATAGACTTGAATGTGGGGTGAGGCAAGGTGGTCTTACATCTCCTAGGCTTTTCAATTTGTATGTCAATGGCCTGATCGAGGAGTTGAGCGGCACAAATGTCGGCTGTCATATTGATGGTGTTTGTGTTAACAACATAAGTTACGCAGACGATATGGTGCTACTCAGCCCTTCGATTGGTGCCATGCAGAAATTATTAAATATATGTGAAGCATATGCAGTGTCCCATGGACTCAGATACAATGTGAAAAAGAGCGAGTTAATGTTGTTCAAGGCGGTAGTGAAATCCGGACCATGTGCGACTACCTTCACACTCAACAACTCACCTCTAAAGCGTGTCTCACATTTTAAGTATCTGGGTCACTGGGTCACCGAGGATATGCGTGATAATATGGATATCGAGCGGGAACGTAGGGCGCTGTCCATTAGGTGTAACATGGTGGCCCGTAGGTTTGCTCGTTGCAGTAGGCAGGTAAAGATTACTATTTTCAAAGCCTACTGCCAGTCTTTTTACACGGGCAACCTATGGGTTAACTATACGCAGCGGGTATACAGCGCCTTGCGTGTCCGGTATAATAATGCTGATGGGGCTGCCGCGCTTTTGCAGCGCGTCAGTAATGTTTTCTGAAATGCGCACTGATGGTTTCCACGCCATTATTAGAAAGCGTGCTGCATCGATGCTGAAACGTTTGCGTGGCAGCTCCAATAGCCTTCTCAACACAATGGCAGATAGGTGGGACTCGCCGCTGCTTGAGCGCTGGATACGGCTACATGCCACGGTATAAGTCACCGGTACCCTCGTGGCGGCTGGTCTCAAACATCTCCATTTACATTTTACATTTTGTCATCATTATTTATGTAAATTAATTTAATTACTAACACTATAATTTAAGTTTTATTTCATTTCACTGTTACTAACATTCTTTTATGGGTCCTGTGTTGCCTGAAATAAAGATATTTTATTTTTATTTTTATTTTTATATATATATATATATATATATATATATATATATATATATATATATATATATATATTATATACATATTTAAACGTTATTTAAAACATTATTAAATAAATTTAATAATTTATATCCTATTACACTCGAATAATATTGAGCTATGAAGAGGATATTTAGGCTGCAATTAATTTGAAGAATATGCTTTTAACGATCTAGAACTACTGACATAGGCAATCGAGACAAACAACTGCCGCTCAGACTAATCAGTACGACCTGCAGTTGGCTAAAATCAATTTCTCATATGTATTCATACTAATTAAGTAGTAGTCAAAAACTCGCTTATCTATACAAATAAAAAATTGAAAGTGTCTGTTTGTAATGACAAAGTAACAGCTTTTTACTAAATACCTTTCATAAGCATATATATGTATGTACATATACGGTACTTAAAAGAAAAAACAAGTTTTAAAATTTTTGTCTGTCTGTTTGTTTGTTCCGGCTAATCTCCAAAACGGCTGGTCCACTTTTGACGAAACTTACACACGCAGATAACTGATGTTATTGGTAGTAACTTAAACTACTTTTATTTTA